AAAACAACCAAGCTCAGAGAGCACCAAGGAAAGAATCGGAATCGGAATCGGAATAGAATAGAATAGAATAGAATAGAATAGAATAGAATAGAATAGAATAGAATAGAATAGAACAGGAGTAGAGTAGAGTAGAGTAGAGTAGAGAAGAGAAGAGAAGAGAAGAGAAGAGAAGAGAAGAGAAGAGAAGAGAAGAGAAGAATATTTTTAATTGGCCAAGTGTGAATGGACACACAATGAATTTGTCTCTGGTGCAGAAGCTCTCCATGTACATAAAAGCAACAAGTCATAAATCATGATCATAATCATAAAATACAATCATCATAAATTATAAGATACAACACTCAGTGATAGTCAGAGATAGTAAATAAAAGCAACCCTGAGTTACAAATATTCTCCTTTACTGATACCCTTCTTCCTTCTGTGCCATGCAGTGCAGAGATTTGGGTCTGTCCATTCCTCTATTCAAGCAAGACACATTAAAGTCTCCAAAACTTTTAAGATTCTGCAGATTCTTAAAATTCCCCCACATTCTAAAAGGACACATTTATTTTTCGATACTTTGTTTCTGACAGCTGCAAAAACAGGCAGGGTATGGAGGTAGGCAGATTTCCTCCACGAAGCTGTGCCGTGTAAATTCTTCTGTTGAATTTCTGCCAGTTGTATGAAAAGAAAAGGAAAAAAAGGGTGGAAGGGAGGGGCTGTTCTCATCCTTCCTAATGTAACCGAAGTAAAGTCCTCGTTTCACCCCTCCCCCTTAGGTCCTTTTCTTGGTATCCTTTGGTATCCTAGCAACTGCCCCCAAGATTCTCCCCCGTCCCTCTCTAATTCCCCCCTGCATCATGGGAACTTCAAGGATATGACGTCATCACTGGGTTCCCTCTTATCCTTCGGCATAACCAATTTGCAAGCCGCAGGATTGTTATAACTGCCTGGTGTTTTGCAACTGCTCTTGATTGCGCCTTAGGAAACGAAAAGCAAAAGTGTAAGGATTTCGCAAAATCCATTTTCTAGGATACGAGGGCGGTCTTAAGATGGAAGAGGAGCCTTTAGGAGGGACGGAGGAAAGGGAGGAATCCAGAGACAAAGGTAGGAAGAAAGATCTCATCTAATGAGCCTGAAGCCATTAGAAGAGGAGCGGAGAAAACAGCCAGAAGCTGCTCATTTTAGACGAAATCGTAACTTCTGAAAATAACAGATCAGTTTTAAGAGCACCTATCTTGTTTTTGCAAGGCAAAAACTCCGAGCAGGCTGGTGCAATTTATTAGTATCTTAATCATGCAAGATTATTATTATTATTATTATTATTATTATTATTATTATTATTATTATTTAATATGGGACTCTATTCTTCGGGCTGGTTATGTGCAGCTTGAAAACTTGATGCAGTCTTGAAAAAGTCAGGAAAGTGGAAATCAGAATAATATGCATCTCAGTGTTATCTAGGAGGTTTTAAGCTCTATAGTCGACAGGAACTTCAGGAAGGCATTTTGGGGAGTATTGAGAAATGAGGAAATGAAACAATGGAGATGGAAGAGATATTTTAAAACTTGAGTGTTTTAAACAAAGGCGACAGGCAGCAGATTAATTAATTTATAATATATTTTAAATTTATACTCTTGGTGTGGGGTTAGAATTCTTTCTTTATACAGTCTTTGTACCACAGTGGAAGAGCAATTGGCCAGTTAGAAAACCTGAACACAGGAAAACATTTAAGTAGATTGTTTTGTTGCCCAAGGCTCCAGCATGCCTGGAATTGCAAAGATGCAGCTCTTCAAAATTTGCAAATTTTTCTTTTGAAACCTATCCCTGTTGCTGCACTATGCTAAAAAGATTCAGGAATGGTTCTTAGCATCTGCTTGTTTAATTGCTATACTAAGTGCTTTTTTTCCAAGCCCCATAAATTAAATTCTGCAGGCTCAGTGCTCATCTTGCATTCGCTTTCAACCAACCCAATCAACATCTTAAGGCCAGGTGGCAGCTGCCTTCAGCTACAGATGACCTGAATTTCATAGCTCTTGATAGCATGATGCACTGAGCCACAACATGACATGTCAGCCTGGCATGAAATGCAGCAGTTCACTCTGTTGTACAGGCCCCAAAAATTAGATTGGCTAATATAAGATGGTAGCAAAATGATGCCACACACTGACTTCTGTTTACTGTAGAACACGGGTGTCAAACTTGCGGCATCACATTGCAATTGCACGTATTGCAATATTTTTGCCATTCATGGAGCTGGGATGGTCATGGTCTACACATGACACATCCGGCCACCAGTTTGAGATGTACCTTCCGTAATTCTATTTTCTGCTCCTAATGAAGGATTCCTACATTGGATTCTTAGTTACAAGATTCCCTGTCTGACAGTCTGCAGCCTTGTGCTTTCTACAATTGACAAAAAATATGTAGATTTGTAAAAAGATTATGGGAGCAATAGAAGAGAATTGTCGAGCCCAAAATTGACATGTGTAGCCATTTTATTCAGCTCTATATTTTAATCATATATTCCTTTCCTTTCTCTTTACTTGTGTAACGGGGAGGGGTTTGGGGCTGGCCACATTCTTAAAGTGGGAGGAATGAATAGATAGTGAGGATTGTTTTGATTAAATGATTTTCCTTCCCGTGGGAACGGAGACTTTCCCTGCTGAGAACTGGATGTGGAATTTGAAGACATCAAGCATTGTTGATTTCCTTTTATTGAGGAATGTGACTTTTGTGGGTTGTTTCTAATATTAATATTATGTGATGTAATTCCGGTTTGTGTCAGATCCGGAATTACAACAGACTTTGCCAATTTGATGCTTACCTAAATAAAATAAATTTGTTTTGGAAGATGGACTTTGCATATTTCTTTTTGAATTGTTTCATCATTTGGAAACTTGACAAGAATATTTGTAGCCCAGGATTGAACTGTATGGTCCTTTTTTTGAAAATCAAGGTTATTTTTTTATTTTAATCTGCATATACACATCAATATATAAACAGTGTGGCATCTATGCATCATATATTTTAGTGCAAACAAAAATAATAACATTAATCATATCTCTTGATATATATATTTGCATTAAATTATAATCCTTCATTGTCTAATCATTCAATATTTCAATACTTTCTTCTAGTGCCAATCATCATATTATCTAAACATATATGATAATTTCATTATTCAATTTCTTCTTTTATTTTTTATTTTTTAAATTAAAAAACCCTCTCTTTTGGCAAGCATTGTGGTTCCAGGTTTTTACATCTCAATACAAACATGACCATAGTTACTTATTCATCTTATTTATTCAATTCCCTATCACATTATTACTTATTGATATTAAGTTCATTAAGCTTATTTTATCCAATTTCAGTTCATATCTTATTTCATTTTTCTTAGGATAGTCTCATATCTTACTTTACAATATTATCTAAAATTCTTGTCTCATTTCTATATTCATTACCCATATTACCTTTATCTGTCGTATGTGCAATTTTACCAATCCTTATTCTATTAGTTCTAAAACTTCTCCCATTTAGTTGATAATTCGAGCTTACCACCATTCTACTTTAATAATATTTTCCTATCTACTACATATCAGATATACACATGTTTTAAATCAACTTCCGCATAGTATTTTCTCAATCACCTTATAGATCATCTATACATTGCAAAAATATTAGTCTAATCAATTAATTATAGAAACTGATATTAATATTTCCATAATGATTCCCATAGTTTTATACATTGGTGATTATCAATTAACATATAATATTCTTATTGTTAATTCCCATTTCCATATTTATTTCATTAAATTCCATACCTAATACAGGGATAATCCTTAAAAAGAAGAAGAAAAGAGGGGAAAAAACAATATCAGTTCTAATCTTATCTATTTTCAATACTTATTCTTATATATCACAACAGATTACCTTGCGGAATCTCCTTTCCTATCCTTTTTTACCCATTCTCTCTCAGTGGTGGTATTCTACCAGTTTGGCCTGGTTCTGACAAGCTGGTAGTAGCGATGAGCAGCAGAGACTAAAACAGTTCTCTCTGCTGCTCTGCTGTTGAGCCCACCTGCCCATCTGGGCTCCCATCCTCTGAATTTGAAGTGCAGCTGCTTTGCGCGCCACAGAAAAGTGCCACACGGCAGCTGCTGAAGTGACCAGGATCGTGCAGGCTTGCAGGAGGTGAATCAGAATGCCTCTGCACCTGCACCAAGTACGTGTTTGGCGTGCGCGTGCACGCAAAGTGTGTGCACGCGTGCAAAGCAGGGCCCACCAACCCACACCCACCGAACCGGTGTCAAAAATATTTGAATCTCACCACTGTTTCTCACCCTCTTAACAATGTAATTTTTTGTTTCATTCTTGTCTGCTTCCTGTTTCTCTTTATTTTCTGGTCCTTTCTCTTAATTCCCTTTTTTCCCATTATTATTTCCCTCCATTTTTCATTCCAATTATTCATTTTATCCCCCTCCCTCTCTCGATATTTCTTCTATACTTCCTTCTTCTGCTTTTTCCCTTTCCTTTGTTTCATTTTCCAAACCATTCCCCCTTTCATTGTCACATCAAACCACAAATTTTTAATTTTTAATCTTTTTTCGCCCTGCTTAAATGATCGGTGCTCCCCTTGATCTTCAAAACTGGTTTCCTCTTTGTTTAATTCCTCCCCCTTTGGTTCTCTTTGTTCTTCTTCAAGCTGAATCGCCAATTCTAGTTTCTGTAATATATTGCTGCACATTTCCAGACTCATCATTTCCTTCATATCTTATAAATCCAGTCTTATTTCAACAAATAATTCCCTCATTGTGCCTGCTCCTTTTTTCCCCTTCTTCCTTAATAAATGTACCCAATCCAAAAATCCAGTATGTCATTTCAACCAGCATCTTCTGTATTTATTTTCAGCAATCAAAGTTCATAAGTCTTTGTTTCCAGATCTTCTGTTAGGTCCTTTTCCAACTTTTTGCCAAAGTCATCGGATGGTTTTTTCAAGTATCTTTCCCCTTGTAATATTCTGGTATCACTTTTCAGGATTTTTATTTCATTTTATTATAATGGAGTTTCTCTTATTTTCTTTTAAGTTCCAAAGTCCAATTTTTTAAAAAGACCAAGCACTTTTCAAAGAGTCACAGAATTTTTTCCTGTACCATTAGGTGGCGCTCTTAGTTCTGTTTCCACATTACACTCTTTCTTTCACTCTTTCCTTTTTTTATTATATAACTTTTGTTAAATTCACTAGTTTCAATTATTAGCTATTATTTCTTTTCAACACATTCAATTCCAGCATTTACTTATCCCTATTTAGTGCCAAAAGTCCAATAGTTATCCAACTTAATTTCCAAGCCTTTTGTGGTCAAATATTTTCCTCTGAATTTTCTCCTCCAAGTTAATTGGTTGCAACAGTTCAAGCCAATTTTATAAATTTCAATTTCCTTCCCACTCTCTCTGGTTGCTGCCTCTACACACTTTCCTCCTAAATAGTTCTTTGTTTCTTAATTCCTAGGTACCTTAAAGTCCATGTTTTTCGCCTGGTTCACATTCTGCTCACTACTTCACTGTTCCAGCACAGTCTTAGTTTCCCGGACTGCTTCCCATCTTCATGGTGGCCATTTTAGACCACCGCTGCAACTTGTCTCTGGAAGGGGTTTTTCTTGTCAGGGAGGGGAGATGCGGCTCCCCTTAACCCTCCAAGCAATCCCCCCTTTCTTCACCACCCCTCTAGGGCGGTTCAGGTTCCAATCAGGACCCTCCAACAAGTGAGCTCAGAGTGAAACTGCACAATTGCAGATTCCGCTCCGACTCTGACAACGAGCAACCGGAAGTCGAACTGTGTGGTCCTTAAATGCTCTCTGATCTTGGTGTTTTCTTGCAGACATTTAATTACCTACTTAGATAACATCATTGGTGCAGAATAATAGAATAACAGTTAGAAGGGACCTTGGAGTTCTTCTAGTCTAATCCCATGCTCAAGCAGGAAATCTTGTACCATTTCAGACAAATGGTTGTCCAATCTCTGCTTAAAAACCTCCAGCATTGGAGCATTTACAATTTCTGGAGGCAAGTTGTTCCACTGACTAATTGCTCTAGCTGTCAGGAAATTTCTCCTTAGTTCTAGGTTAGTTTTTTTCCTGGATTAGTTTCCATCCATTGCTTCTTGACCTGCCTTCAGGTGCTTTGAAAAATAGATTGACCCACACTTATTTTTGGCAACTCCTCAGATATTGGAACTCTGCTATGAGGATACTGATAATGAAATGAAATTTCATTTATTTTAATGAAATTTGTAATGAATTGTCTGTAAGAAAGCCACCAAGCTCAAAGAGCACCAAGGACTCCACAGATACAACATCCATAATCTTCAGGCATCTGAGCCACTAGCCATACTGGCTGGTGTTATGGAAATGCAGCCAATCATATCTGGGGACAACAGCTTTCTGAAGGTTGTTCTAGCATTCCTTGTGTCTTAAAAAGAGAGGCCTCAGTCTACCCTCCTCCCAAATAGGCCCCTATTTAGGAACACTATGGGATTTGGCCAATGAATACTGGAGTGGAAGATTTGAATGGCAAGCTCCCTGTGTGTCAAGGCAGCAAGTACATCATAGACACCTGTTTTGGATACGAGATTATTTTCCATGCAAAAAATGGCTCCAGTTAGGAGAAAGGGATATCTATATACCGGTAGCCCTTGACTTACAACAGCAAGACAGGTCATTTTATGACCTTTTTGCCGCAGTTGTTAAAGGGATGTGTGCAGTTGTTAAGTGAATCATGCAGTCACTAAGCCAACCTGGCTTCCCCATTGACTTTGCATGTCAGAAGCCAGCTGACAGAGTTATAAATGGGATCACATGACTCCAGGACAGTGCAACTGACATAAATACAGGTAGTCTGACTTACAACAGTTTGTTTAGTGACCGTTCAAAGTTACAATGGCATTAAAAAAGTGACTGATGACCATTTATCACACTTATGACCATGGCAGCATCCCACAGTTACGTGATTTACATTTGGATGCTTGACAACTGACTTACATTTATGATGGTTGCAGTGTCCTGAGGTCGTGTGATCCACTTTTGTGACCTTCTGACAAGGAAAGTCAATGGGGAAGCAGATTCACTTAACAACCATATTATTAATTTAACAACTGCAATGATTCACTTAACAACTTTGATAAGAAGTCATAAAATGGGGCAAAATTCACTTAACAAATTTCTCACTTTGTAACATAAATGTTGGGCTCAATTGTGGTCATAAGTTTAGGACTACCTGTACATGGCAGTTGCCCAGTATCCGAATTTTGATCACGTCACCAGGGGTGGGATTCATTTTTTTAACAGCTGGTTCTGTGAGCGTGGCTTAGGTGGCAAGTGTAGCTTGGTGGTCATGTGACTAGGTGGGCGTGGCCAACTCAACATCACTCATGTCCTTTCTCCTCGCCTGGCCTCCCATGACAGTGGGGATGCTGCAATGGTCATAAGTATAAAAATGGTCATAAGTCACTTTTTTCAGTGCCATTGTACCTTTGAATGGTCACTAAATGAATTGTTGTAAGTCAAGGATTACCTGTACAAAAATACAAAAAGCTTCTTTGCTTGCAAAAAGCTGCCCTAAATACTAGTCATTAGATTAAAAATACCTGCAAGCCGGAGTTACAGATGAGGCAGGGTTCCAGATCACCTTGAGGAATTAAAGTAGTTAAAATGCATTGATAACTATCAGCAGCCAACTCTTGCTCATAAAGTGAAACAATCCTTAGATCCATTTGCACCAATTAAATACACCAGCTGGTCTCACCTCACAAGATATCCTCAGGAAATCATCCAAATTTAAGGAAAGGTCACATGCCCCCCCCACCCCCCGAAAGGCAATAAAAAAAAACAGTGCCAAGCTTACATCCTGCCTCTTGGAAGTACACCCCAAAAGGACAGTGCCAGATACCACTAAAGCAATGAAGGAAGACCCCCTCCCCAGATAGGAAAAGAAACTATGAGGCAGGGAAAAATTCAAACACAATACAAATAATTAAATCACAACAGTAGCTATTGCTTGTTGAAGCTGAATAGAGAAAATTATCCCATCAATAAACATAGGATTAAATGTCGCCAAGCACAGAATTAACCTTCACCAAAAACCAGTTTTAGACCAAAACTCAGAAAGGGTTTATAAACTCACGATTGAATGTTTATCTTTCTAGCTGCCTCGCTGAATGTCATTCATCTTGGTTTCCTGTCATTAAAAGCTTTTTTCTGACAGCTTTGCTTCATTATTCAATTATTTCTTCAAAGTGCTGATTGTCCAGGGAAGCATTTTCTCCCAACAGCAGTGTAAAAATCTTAAAACAACCCTTCCCCTTTAAGAAAGTCAAGCCTCAGAAGATCCGGAGATAAGAAGTCTAGGCATTCTGGCAAGAATGTAATAAGGGTGGAAAAAAAACAAAAGGAAATTGCTTCTAACTACCGGTTCTCCGAACTGCTTAGAAAGTTAACAAGGGGTTCTATAGAACTGGTCAGAACCAGTAGAATTCCACCCTTGCACGTGACCATGGGGATGCTGCAATGGTTATTTAGTGTGAAAACTGGTCGTAAGTCACTTTGTTCTGTGCCGTTGTAATTTCGAACAGTTGCTAAATGAATGTTGCAAGTTGAGAACTACCTGTACTCTTTTTTCCTACTCTCTGCAGGTGTTGGGGTTGGAAGTCTTCTTGAGATGGAAGATCCCAAGAAGGAAGCACCAGAAGGAAGGCTAGAGAAGCAGGACCTAGAAGCCACTCTGAGCCTGGAGCAGAGAGCATTAATGCTGGAGAGCCTAGAGAGAGAAGGGAGACCAAGAGGTGTTCTTAATGCAGGTGAGAAAGAGCAGGCAGAGCTTGATGTCCCCAATAGCTATTCAAGAGCTGAGGATTGCCAAAACCAAGCCAAGGTGGAAGACCAGAGGTGGAGAAGCCAGGTGAGAAGACGCCGGACAAAAGAGGTTTCCCAGGATCCGCCAGGTTTCATCAACCTCCTGGGAATTCTGGAACCGCCACCTCCTCTTCTGCCCTCCCCACCCCAGAAGGTGGTGAACAAGCCCTTCCACTGCACGGAGTGTGGAAAGTGTTTCTCGCAGAGCTCCGTGCTCATTGAGCACCAGAGAATTCACACAGGCGAGAGGCCCTTTGTGTGCAATGTGTGCGGAAAACGATTCTCCCAGAGCTCCACCCTGATGGGCCATCAGAGGATCCACACGGGTGAGAAGCCCTTCGCCTGTCCCGAATGCGGACGGGGCTTCAGCCGCAGCTCTGCCCTGACCGAGCACCAACGCACCCACACAGGAGAGACCCCCTTCCCCTGCCGGGAGTGCGGGAAGGCCTTCAGCCGCACCTCCAACCTGGTGAAGCACTTGCGCACCCACTCCGGCGAGAAACCGTACAGCTGCACCCTCTGCGGGAAGCGCTTCTCGCTCAGCTCCAACCTGCTGAAGCATGAGCGCACACACTCGGGGGAAAAGCCCTTCCCCTGCCCACTCTGCGGGAAGCGCTTCAAGAAGAAGACCCACCTTGTCTCACACAACCGCGTCCACACTGGAGAACGTCCCTACCGGTGTGAGGAGTGCGGGAAGTGCTTCTCCCAAAGCTCGTCTCTGATCGAGCACCAGAGGATCCACACTGGGGAAAAACCCTACAAGTGTCCCCAGTGTGGCCGAGGCTTCTATGTCAACTCCAAACTGGTCAAACACCAGAGGATCCATACAGGGGAGAAGCCTTACGCCTGCTCGGCCTGTGGGAAAACTTTCCGATACAAGCAGCAGTTTCCCCGTCACCTGGCCCACGTCCACCCAGGGGAAGAGCAGGTTTCTGTCCTTAACTTGGGGACCAGTGTTAATATGCTACTCTCCTAGGGTGTAACCCCAGGGCCCAGTGGCTAGCCTTTAAGTCCCAGGGGGCTACTCCCAGTCAGAGGCAGAATCGTTGCCAAATATGGTTGATCCCTAGAATAGCATCTTTTGTTGAATGATTCAAGCAATTTCTGAAGTGCTCCAACTTACAAAGATAGTCCTTGATGTAAAACCACTATCGAGCCCAAAATGACTGTTGCTAAGCAAGACAAGTTAAATGAATTTTGCCCCATTTAATGATCTTGCTCACCACAGTTGTTAAGTGAATCACTGCAGTTGGTAAGTTAGTAACACGGTGGTGTCAACTAAAAAAATACTACTTTGGTCTAGTACTTTGGTCTTGCTACAACAGTCGTAATTGTGAAAAATGGTCACAAGTCAATTTTTTCATGTAATAACTTCAAATGGTCACTAGGCACTTTGAATTTTTACTAAATGCATTGTTGTAAGTCGAGGACTACTTGAATGTCCCTGTGAGAGAGGCCATGTCATTTCGGAAGGCTCCCATTATAGCCAGTTTACAATAGTTGGTAAGAGCTAACAACTTGACATCTTATTCCAGGTAGTCCCTGAAGTTACGATGGTGCTGAATAAAAGATGATTAATTACAGCGTTCCCACAGTGATGTGATTACAACTCAGGTTCTTGGCAACAAGCATTTATTTAACATAGTTGCCGTGTTCCCGGTGTTAAAGTGATTGCCATTCTGCAACTTTCCCAGCTGACTGCTGACGAGTAAAATCAATGAGAGAAGACAGATTTGCCAAATGAATGCATAATTTGCATAACAACTCTGGCAAAAATGGTTGTAAAATGGGGAGTGGTCACATAATTCATTTAACAACTACATTGGTTAAAAATAGAAGTTCCAGTCCCAATTATGGTTGTAAGTCAAGGACTACCTATATATTAACTAACACAACATAAGAATCTGTAGAGATTCTCTGTCATCCAACTTGTGGTTGTCCCAAAGGTGCTTTTTCAGGAGGCAACTGGATTTTTGTTTTTTCTTTTGAAGATGTTTCCCTTCTCATCCAAGAAGGTTCTTCAGCTCTGACTGGATAGTGGGGAATGGAAAGATTTATGTTCCTAACAGACAGCTGGTCATTTGCATCCTTTTAGAGGGTCGTTGAGGCCACTTGGAGGTTTATCAGTGTCCTTATGGCTACTTGAGTAGTGCTCCTGGTTCCTATAGTCCGCATTTTTTTTCTCTGGAAATTCATTGCTACCCCCCACACTATTCAAAGAGTGTTCATCCCAAATTGAGAATCGTCTCTTAGCTATACAATTTGGGATGGACACTCTTTCAATGGTGTGGGAGTACTTCAACAACCATTTAAAAGGATGCAAATGAACAGCTGTCTGTAAGGAATGTAAATCCTTCCATTCCCCATTCTGTCAGAGCTGAAGAAGATTCTTGGATGAAAAGTGAAACCTCTTCAAAGAAAAACAAGAAAATCCAGTTGCCTCCTGAAAAAAGCACCTTTCGGACACAACATGGAGCAAGTTTATTTTATCTGGTATATGAAACTCAAAGCTAATTACTTTGCTTAACTTTGTTTTTTTGCTACCATGCAGCTCATGACGTGGAGTTTCAGTTTCCCATCTGCTCTGAGGAAAAGCAAAAGGATTTTCTAAGGATCTTGGGTTTTTTTGTTTATACTCTATAGCCAAGGAAATCATAGTAGAATTTATTTTCTGGATTATTTTCCTTGGGTTTTTTGTGTTTTTTTAATCCGAAGTAAAGGTAAAATTGTACTTTGATGTTTTTTCATTGAGCTAACCACAGTATTATCTAGAAAACATCTATTAACCCTTTAAAGAAGTTTAATGTTGACATTATTCAGATGATATGTTTATGATAACTACAAGAAAACTACAAAATGATTTAAAACTCCATACTGATGCGTCTACCAGTTCTTATTCAAAGGAATTCCTTTCACTGTCAAGACTGTAAAATTCTATCTGAGAACTGAGACATTTTGACTATTGACTGGATTTTAGAATAATTGTAAAAACTTCTAAATGCCCTTTTATCATTATGGAACAGACCTATCTTTTTAGAGGTGTAACTGCTCAGAATTCTAGGATTGCTCACTTTTTCTGTTGATGACTTGTACCGGATTCATTTCAAGCTCTGTGTACCCTCTACTACAAAAACCATGGACAGGAGGAACCATTGTTAGTGGTGACCTATGACATCTTATGAACTCATCTCAAGAAGTGAACAGTCGATGAAGTACTGAACTCCAAAAGTCACATATGAGTGTCTCATTAATTAAGTCATCAGATCATTGACAAATTTGGGTGGTATTTTTTTAGTCAATATTCCTGAATTAGCTTCAGAACTCCATTTGTAAGAGCCAGGATGAAAACAAAATGAATCTGAATGCTATTCTACAGTTAAATAACCCAGAAGCCTATCTGATACACATACCTGTAATTTAGTCGTTTCCACAGAAACTAGTGTTTCAATCACTGAGACTGAATTTCCCCTATCAGATAACATGTTTGAAAATAGGGTGTGATCTGGTCCTAGTACTATGTGACAATGTTGGAATAGCCCAGTTTTCAGCTTGATTGCTTCATTGTGACAGTTGCATGTTAGGGCAGGAGAATCATACCAGTGGTGAAGTCACACTCTTTTTCGAAACAAAATCGACGGGAGGGATATTTGCAAGGTAGTGTGAATTGTGAGTTTCATGGATTCGGGCAGAAAGAAGGCAGGTAGTCCTCAATTTATGACTGCTTAATGGGCAGGCCCCAGGGGTGCTTATAACCCAGATCTGAAGTTCTGATAGCCAGGCCCTTCATTGCGGTCACATGGCCTGGATTTATAGGGGGGGGGGTGCTAGAAACTGGCATTTACTTCCAGATTTCAGCAAAAAATACTCCCATTGTGGGCAGTGGATTCACTTCACAATAGATGGCTTGCTTTATGACCACCATATCCACTTAACAACCACCTCACAAAAAGTCGTAAAATTGAGCGCAGTCTTGTGACCTTTTAACAACCGGCCAGACTTAAGAGTCATACGTTGAGAACCATCTAAACAGTAGAACAAAAGCCTTGAAAATCCTAGGGGTATGACAAATACAGGTAGTTTTTTATTTATAACTGTTAATTTAGTGACTGGAAAAAGTTACAACAGCACTGGAAAATGTGACTTATGACTGTTTTTCACACAGTCGTTGCAGCATCCCCATGATCACGTGATCAAAGTTCAGATGCTTGGCCACTGGTTCATACTTATGACCGTTGCTGTGTCCTACTGTCACAAGATCCCCTTTTGGGAACTTCTGACAAGCAAAGTCAATAGCGAAACCAGATTCACTTAAAAACCAGGTTACTAATTTTATCAACTGCAGCAATTCAGTTAACATCTGTGTCAAGAAATGTCTTGTTTTCACATGACCATAGGAATGCTGCAACGATCGTAAGTGTGAAAAAAGATGATAAGTCACTTCCTTTTTAGTGTTGTAACTTTGAACAGGCACTAAATGAATTGTAAGTTGAGGACTATCTGTAGATCTCTTTGGATGGTTTCAAAGCTTTAACTAATTCCTCCTGCATTCTTCTATTTCATGAATTATTCGCATCACATCTTGCACAATTCTTAGAAGTCATTCATCCAATTTTTCTATGTCAATCCATTCTCAATTTTTAAGAAAATGTTATTGCCCACAGGGTCAAAACAATAAGTTGATGTAGCCCAGTTATTCCAAAACTCTACATCATGGGAAATACTTTTTTTTTCCTTTCAGTCGTGTCCAATTCTTGGAGACTGGTCAACTCTGTATGGTTTTCTTGGGTTTTTCTGAAGTGATTTACCATTGCCTCCTTCCTAGGGTTGAGAGTAGGTGGCTGGCCCAAGATCATCCAGTTGGCTTTGTATCTAAGGCAGGAGCCATGAAACTAGAACTTAGTCTCAGTAGTGATGCTTTCACTACTATACCAAACTGGCACTCATGGGGAAATAGCATACCAAAAACTGAGTTAGAATCAGAGGTAGTATTCAGCAGGTCCTGACCAGTTCTGGAGAACCGGAAGCAGAAATTTTTAGTAGTTCTGAGAACCAGCAAATACCACTTCTGACTAGAGGTTTTACAGTATCCTTCCCCTGCCACACCCATCAAGCCATGCCCACAAAATCGATAGTAAAAAAATTTGAATCCCACCACTGGTTAGAATATAAGATAAAACAATTTCTACAACAAATTTGAAGAGCAATGTTAAATTTAAAACATTGCTTTACTTGCCATGATAGCTCTTAACTTAAAACTCACCAAATAGGGCATCAAAAAATTGTCTGAAATCAAAGATTGTTTAAAAGCCTTGTTTTCATTTATGCTGGCTCTTTTCATAGAGAACAATAGAAACATTCCTGTCCTTTGTACGTTAAGTAAGTTCCTTAGTGTTACTCTTGAATAACAATTGAGTAAAAGGCTGTGTATAGAATATTTGCCCTAGTGCATTTTATTAATTTTGTACTGATGGTGTTTAAGATTTATTGTTAATCATATGCTTTCATCAGTGTTTCTCAATAACAGCTCATTAAAAATGTAATTTCATACAGCCTCAAGTTTTGTCTGCAGTGCATCAGGTTTATGAAAATTTTAAAAAATATTCTTTTCATCAAAGTTTACAAAAAAAGTTTCAGTGGAAAGTGTTTCAGATAATCAAATGCATTAAATCCTTCTATAGCATCTCTGATGTAGTATTATACAACTTACATTACTTTTCTTTAAAAGCCCCATATTCTCACAAGCCCCAATTCTCATAGGAAGCATGACATTTTTTTTTAATTAAGTTCCTTTGGAACTCCAAATATTTATATTCAGAGGATCCTACATGACCATGAGATTATTATGAGTCTTATCTCCTAATTAATCTTTGTCTTATTTTGTATATCTTGATATGTGGTATCTTTTGATCATTCAGTCCCTTCAATTTAATTATCTTAAATACTTGCAATATAACAAAACAATACAGTTGGAAGGGGACCTTGGAGGTCTTCTAGTCCAACCCCCTGCTCAAGCAGGAAAGCCTATACCATTTCAGGCAAATGCCTGTCCAGTCTCTCCTTAACAGTGATAGAGCACCTAAAGGCAAACCCTTCCACTGATTTTATTGTTCTCCTTACTTCTGGGTTGCTTGTCTCCTTGATTTGTTTCCATCCTTTGTTTCTTGTCTTATTTCTTGTTTTGGTGCTTCAGAAAATAAGTTGATCCCCGCTTCTTTGTGGCAGCCCCTCAAATACTGGAACATTGCTATCATGTCCACCCTAGTCCTTCTTTTCCTCTAGATTGACCATTCCCAATTCTTGCAACCACTCATGTTTTTATCTCCAAGCCCTTAATCGTCTTACTTGTTGTTCTTTGCACTTTTTCCAAAGTCTCAACATCTTTTTTGTAATGTGGTGACCAAAAACTGGATGCGAACTTTGTGGCAGTCCCTCAAATATTGGAACATTGCTATCATGTCCTTTTCACTAGACATGATGCATAATAATAACTATAATGGCCCGTGGCAAAATTAATTATACCCACTTTACTCTTTATTGAGCAGTTTTAACATAAAATAATCCCTATGGCCAACAAAAGGGCATCCCACTTAATTTGGGTAACAGCTGGGGAAGCACAACCTCCACCGTGCTAAACAATGCTGCAGCGATGTTCTTGAACTACAATTCGCATCATTCCTCCTCATTAGCTATAATGGCTGGAACTTCTGAGAATTGTAAATTAATATCTGAAGGTCCATCAGTGTCTGACACGGTATCCCTGGAAAAGAAAGCACAGGTTTCTCCACCTTAATATCACTGTGAATCAAATGTCAGGGAACTCATCCCAAAAGTGCTTTTTTTTCCAGAAGGCAACTGGACTTTAGCAAAAAAAAAAAAA